CCATTTTCTTGTGATGTTTGTGGACAAAGTTTTAGCCTTAAGACGAGTTTAAACGCCCACATGACAATCCACACTGAAGACAAACAGTTTCCCTGTGAAGTTTGTGGACAAAGATTTAGCCGAAAGTCAAACGTAAACTCCCACATGACAATCCACACAGGAAACAAACCATTTCCATGTGATGTTTGTGGACAAAGATTTAATCAAAAGTCAAGTTTAAACTTGCACACAAGAATCCACACAAGGGAAAAGCCTTTTTCTTGTGAAGTTTGTGGACATAGATTTACACAAAGGTCACATTTAAACTCCCACATGAGAATTCACACAGGAGAAAAGTGTTCAGCTGTAAAAAACACAACAGCTCCTAAAGATCCACATGAGGTCACACAGAACTGAACACACACAGTTCCAATGTTTATTTAATAGTTTATGTAGTGAAAAATTGATCTCAGATGTCAGTTACTGTTTTATGTATTTTGCAAATATTTAAATATGGCTGGCTGATATACATGTAGATCAGATTGTTTTACATTATGTAATGTCAATAAGTATGAAGTATAGTTTTTAGTCCTATTTTATAACTGACTGTAAATAATTCAGTAGGAATTAAGTTTTTTTCAGCTTCTTTAAATGCATTGTAGTCCCTCCCACTCCCAGCTTGAAGACCCGCCCCCTTCACTGCTCCTCTACCAAACTGTCTGAATTTGTGTTTCAGAGAAAGGACAACAGCAGCTGACAGAGAAGGATTGGTTCAAAAGAGGGATAAAATGCAGATGGAATAAAGTTTATTTGCCATAAAAACTTTTGTTTTATTTTTTTATTATTTTACTTTGTTCTGTTTTAATAGTATAAAATATTATCAATTAATTAGTAAACATTTTAGTTTGATTTTGGAGATCTTAACATGATATCATGCCCATAAACTTTCTAACTGCTGTACGAAATATTTATTTTTGTAACAGTTGTAGTCAGAGTTTTAAAGTAATTAAGTACGAATACTTTGTTACTGTACTTGAGTAGATTTTTTAGGTATTTGTATATTACTTGGGCAATTATTTTTCAGCCTACTTTTTACTTCTACTCCTTACATTTTTAAAAAAGTCAAGAAGTATAAAGTTGTTACTTTTATTTCATTTTTGCTTGTTTTCATTCCAGCTTGTTCTTGTAAAAAATAAAAACTATCCATATAAACTGAGCCTCCTAGATAGAGTGAATTTAACTGTGGTTGAATGTGAAGTATAAATATATAAAACTCTGATAGTGTATTAGTTTGTACACAAACAAATCATGTCACACTCCAGCAGGACAGAATCATTCAAATAAAAGGACTGTACTTAAGAAGTATTTGTATTTCATGAATTATATTCTTACATTTGGCCGCAGCCCTCAGATAGATTTTCATTTTGGGGAAAAGCTTTGTGCAGCCTTGATGTACACTCACCGGCCACTTTATTAGGT